CTTTTTGGTACACTATTGAAAAATAGTAACTCAGGACAGTATTGGTTGGGTGAGATGTGGGGCAGAAGTAGGAGAACACTTGGGAACCAGTAAGTTGTAACTCATAGTGTCTGCCTTTATGTTTTACTGTTTCTTTCTGGTGTTTTTTTTCCCACATCCAAGATAACTTCATGCTAGAGTCTAACCCCACTGATGTTTATAACCAGAGTCAGTATCCATCACTATTGGCAGCATCTACTTGCATTTAGCAAGATGAAAGTGTTCTGGAAATTCCTCCTTTCTGTAGGTGTTGAGGTAAGGGTATGTATCCTTCAGCACCTGGTACCAGTGTCCTCTTGCCCTGGTTTGGGTAGGAGCACTCCAAAGCTACCATAGTCTACCATGTCAAACTTGACCAAGTTCCTGAACCTGATGTAGTTTGACAAGAGAATCTCATTGACACTGGGCTTCTTTTTCCTGGTGGTCATGCCATGGTCTGATATGATGATGTTTAGGTGCCCTATGAAGCTGTGCATCTACATGACTGACTGTCACCAGGTACCTGATAGTCCTGTGTATTTACTGAATCATCACCTTCCTGTTCTATTGTTGTAGGAAATCTGGTCCGGGAGAGACAAACTCACTCAAAAGAGAAGGAGGAAAGCTTTTTTTGACTGGCCGGCCCAGTGGAGCTAGGTACTCTGTAAAGACCTGGGGCCTGAAATTAAAAAATGGGGTAGTTTTATACAGTAGTTTAAGTTGGAGTGGGCTTGGGATGAGTGATAATGTAACTGTCTTGAGGTTGAGGCTTTCTTTAGAACAGGATATTCACATAGCAAAACACAACAGGATACATATTGTGAATGTTGAGGCTCACCGGATACATTTTCAAGGCTAACAGAAAGGACATATCAAGATATACATTGAAGTTTGAGGCTAACTGGATACATTTTTAAGGCTAACAGAGAGGACATAACAGAATACATATTGTGAATACTAAAGCTAACAGGATATACATATATATTTTGTGGTGGCTTACATTGTGATTATATAAAGTATTACTCATTGGGAGAGGTTGTGGATTTGCCTGTTTCTGGGTGAATAGGAACAAAATAAGGGCCAGTGAGAATTTTTAAGGCTTAAAGGCCTAAATGTTTAAGCCTTCTGCATTACTCTGTCTCAGTCCTGAGTTGGTGTCCCATGTTATCTGGCTCCCCATAGTACAGAGTCACAAGTCAAAATTTTCCTAAGCAAACCAGTTCATGATGACATCAGTGTTCTCCTTCCATCCTGTCTCCTTGCTGTCTGAGTGTGTATAGGACGCCATCAGAGCCCACTGCATGGACTCACTTTTGTATGTGACATCTCCCTCTGGGATAGTGGAATTACATCATTTTCTTGCCCTGTAAGAGCAAGAAGAGAATTCTATTAGGGCCATTTCTCCTATCTTTCTTGAAATAAGACGAACCCCTCTGTCTACATCCCTGCCCAGAGGCAGAGAAAACATATTCTTTGCAGTCAGACTGGATTGGATTTGATTCTCTTCTCAGAGAATCTAAAACTGTTCATTGCCAGAGGTGCTATTATTCTGTGTGCTACTCAGAAAAAAATGCTGCCAATGAAACCATGACAATCCAGTGACTATAGGATACATTCCAGCTTCAGAGATGGCAAAAAAAGAGTTCTTTAGAATGGCAGAAAATGGTAGTTTCTAAGCTGGTAACATTGAGTTTTTAAATCTCTTAGTGCCTTGGCATTTCTATCTGTCAAATGCCAAAAAGTTGAAGAGATCTTTGTGAGTATTAGAGCAGACAACTTTAAGAAAAAGTGCAGGCAGAAAGAATTCTTTTCTTTGCTTCCAGCTAGGACAAGCTACCACAAGCCTTCTCTGCTCTGTGTTGTGGATGATTAGCATGTTTCCTTGTTGTCTTAGTATGTTTTCTGTTGCTCTAATAAGATACTCAAGGCTGGGTAATGTATAAAGAGAAGAGATTTACTTAGCTCACAGTTTTGGAGGCTCAAAGTCCAAAGAGCATGGTACTGGTTCTGGCAAGGGCTCCCCTGACTGTATCACAACATGGGGAGGACGTTATGATGGGAATGTTTGTGGAAGAGATCACATGGAAGGACAGGAGGTCAGAGAGTGAGGAAGGGCCAGGCTTCCTTTTAAAACAACTCACCTGTGAACTAATGGAGCCCAGAATTAGTCCATTTCCAGTGCAGTGCTCTCTATAGCCAAATCACTTCTCAATAGGCCACACCTCTTGAAGGACCACCTCTTTTCAACACTGCCATACTGGGGACCAAGCTTCTAGCACAGGCACCATTATGGGGACAGAGCCTAACCATAGAACCCACCCAGAACCACTCCTTGCTTTGGGGTCAGAGCACTCTGACTTGTCTGGAGTCTTGGTCCATGCCTGGCCTCCACCTAGGTCCACCCATGTGCCTACCCTTGCTCCATGTTTTGGAACAGGTTGATATCACCCTGGGATCTGAGGTGGGATGTGGTTCTGGCCTGCCAATCAGAGGACAGTGCATCCTTTGCCCACAACAACTGGTTCAGGCTTGGAGCCATGTCCCCATCAGAGCCAATGTGATGAGATCTTGGGTCTTTTCCTGCTGAGAGGAGAGGCTGCCCTACTCATTCTCATATACAATGTAGAGGACTCCAAGAAAATCTCTTGGAAAATTTGGGAGTTTCTGCAAGAACAGGAGCCTGACATCTCATTCCCTATACAGACACCTGCTTAGTTAGTGGACTGACAAACTGAGGATAAGGAGATGGTGGCTGCAGCATGCTCTGATGTCAGACTGCCTAGCTCGACATTTCTCTACAGTTAGGTGCAGGTTCTGATATCCTCTTCACCTGAGTGTCCTCCTGTGTAAGGTGGGGTGACACTTCCTTCTGGCATGCATGGAAGCCCATCAGTGCATGTTCACCGAGTGCAGCTTTTGTGTGTCCTGCTCTGAGTGAGATGTTGTGCTTGAGTGAACAGAGGCAGGGTTAGTTGCTGTAGTTTCTGTTTCCCGAGAGGTGTTAGTGATAGAACTGTGACATTCCTGCAGTCCCCAGAGAGGGAAAATGAGAGCAGGGGGCTTCAATCCAGGCAGAAATGGCCACAGCATGGGGCATTGGGTCTCTACATCCAAGTTGAGTTGCTGACAGCCATGAAACATGGCAGAATCTTGCAAGGGATCATCAGGAAACAGGATCACTGCTCAGAACTTAGACCTTGGTCAGTGGGACCTGATGACCTTTGCCCTGATGACAGGTCATGGACAGTAAGATATGGCAGCAGATGACAGCCAACAGGAAAAGAGCCCCACAGGCTGCCATAGGGGATATATCTCTGTTACCCTCCCCAGGAGGTAAAGCAGAAAACAGAGTAGGGTAGGTTTGCATGGAAGAGACGTTTCCAAGAGCACTCCTACTATAGACTTCTGGGCCTCCAGAGGGTCTGTGACTAGGATGCTGGGGAGGAAAGTGAGGTGGGAGGAGAATTTGGAATTGGATATGAGGTTAAGGTTTTTCAATGAGCAGGACCAAGTTCTTAGACCAGAAATGAGGCTATATTAACAATGGAAGTGATTGTAACATCATGAAAATATCCTTAAGTGACCTATCCCTTGGGAGAAACGTGGTGGTTGGGTGAATTTTGGGTAAAGCTGTCAGAAAAAGAAAAAAAGGGGGGATGTATTCTTACCAATGAGTTAACCATGGGGTGCATGGACACCACTTAACAATTTATCTTGTTGCAAAGCAGTTCTGAAACCAGGCTCTGGTGCACAATGGGCACTCTGGAGACTCTGATTCTGTGAATGAGTGACCTGCTTGCTAGGTATGCAAATACTTTCCTGAGCTAAGCCATTCATTTGAGAGCTGTTGTGGGTTACTTCCCATTTTACTTGGATTTGGATGTTCTGGAAACACCCTGAAGTTCATTTGTATTAGCAGACCAAGGGGTAGGGGCTGTGGTGGTGGGACTATGGCCATCTGGTTTGGGGAACAGGTGACGAGGGAAAACTATATGCAAATGCCACCACCCCAGTAGCACATGGCCAGTCACTCACGAACATAGTGGGACAAAAGGCCAGCTCTTTGGCTGGGGGTGGGATAACAGGGTGGTGCAGTTCATGCTCTGGAGCCCCAGGGGGATCAGAGTGGGGAGGGTCTCCAGCAGGGACCACAGCTCACTCAGCTCCTTCCCCCATGTGGTCTTGTTTCCTCATATCCATCTCCTGAGAGCTCTCCCTCAGAATTCCATGCATGGAATCCCTACCCCAGGTTCTGCTTTTAGACACCTTGATCTAAAGCTGAAGACTTAATCATAAATAACAGTTGACCCTCCGTGTCTGAGGATTAGTTCCAGGACCACTCAAACCCACTGATGCTTCAGTCCCTTGCACAGAAGGTGATGTATTTGCATGTAACCTATGCAACTCTCCCCTATCCTTTAAATAATCTCTAGGTTGCTTGCAATACCTAATATGACATACATGTTTGCAAATAGCTGCTAAACTGTACTGTTTAGGGAATGTCTAGTTACTTTTCTCATTGCTGAGACAAAATACCCAACACCCAAAGTTAAAGGAGGAAGAGTTTGCTTCAGCTCACAGTTTGTAGAGGTTTCAGTCCATAGTCTGTTGGCTCCAAGGCAGGGGGTCATGGCAGAGGACCATCACAGAGGAAAAATAGTCCATGGCAAAGCAGGCAGGAGACAGTGAAGCAGTGAGCAGCAGCAGCAAGCCTGCCTCTCCCTTCTTACCTCATCCAGGCTACCAGTCTTTTGGGTGGTGCCACCCACAGCAAGGGTTGGGCTTTCCATTAGCCACACTTAGAACTGTGCTAGACCAATCAGTGGACTAATTCAGTAATTACACACCCTTAATCCCAGTATCACACTCTAGATCCAGCCATCTCTGAAAAGCCCCACCTATGACCACATGAGGGTTTATGAGGACATCTAGATACAAGTCATAATGGGGAATAATGGTAAGAAAAAAGTCTGTACATGTTCAGTACATGTGCAGTTGTTCTTTTTCCAAATATTGTTGAACTGCAAATAGTTGATTCTACAGATAATGGGAGGGTGTCCATCTTTAGGAAGGCTATGAGCAGGCAGGTAAGATATTGTCTGTCCCATCCCAGCAGTCATTTTGTCCAATGGGATCCAGTTTTATTTTTTCTGAAGCACATCCTTCAGCCTAAGATGGTCTTAATTTGTTTATTTGTTTACCTAGTTCTCTTTTTAAGAATGTGAGTGGCAGGGCTCATGTGCTGGGAATCAGGTCAGGCCTAGCTCAGAGCATGGGTCAAATGCATGAATGAATGCACAGATCTCATCTTCTTGAGTGGAAAACTCATTCTATTCTCATTTCTAATGAACCTAGAGAAACAGTTACAGAATTTATTTTCTTTTGGGTTGTAGTAGCTTATTTGTAACCTCTGCAAGTAACATATTTTCCTTTCTGATAATAGAATTGCTATGGTTGCTTTAACTTCAAATTCTCTAATATTTATTATTGTATTTCTGATTGGCATTAGCCATAATTCTCAGTTCTTAGCAGTGGTACTTGGTTTAACTTACATGTAAATTGACTTTGCCCTAATATGGAACTGACTAGAAGAAAGGAACTTCTAACATTTTGGACTATTGGCTACTTTATTATTTCGAGTCAGCTGACATTGACATTACTAGGGACTTGGGTGGGTCTGAAATCCAGTTCAGTTCCTGATGTTTGCACATTAAATTACAGACGTTCCCAACTTGAAATTGTTTCCTTATGTTTTGTTCTCAACACACAGCTTGTCCAAAGATACCCACACTGTGTCTTAGGAAACTGTGATTTTTTTTTCTTATTCAGTCTCATAGGAATTTTAGGAACCCTGTTGTTATGTGCACTGAACTCCAGAGAGAAGCAGGTGGACACTACTATGTACATGCACACACCACACTTGACTCTGTTTATTTGGGAGCCATGATAATCAAAAGTGCTATTTTCCAACAAATACTTTTGAGAAATAATCTGAGCACTTAATTGGATGCAAAAGAGTGGGTATTTACTATTCTACCCTTTAATTAGCATAATCAGTGTTTCCAGCAGCAATAGCAATTGGAAAATCGCTCGTTTTATTAGGTTCATTATTCTTCCTTAGTGTAGGGCTGCATCGGTGAAGCCATTACTCTTAAGTTGCTTCTTTAAGACACGGGCTGATGCTTGTACAGGCAAATCCTAGCTCTTGTACAGAGTCCATCAAACTCTTTAGAACCAATAATTTGAGGAAAGTTTGACTCTAGCTTTGCATTTTGCCTGGTTTCCTCCTGTGGGTGACAATTCATGTCACAAGGCATATATGTTTTAGCGAGGCCCATGAACAGTTGATGTATGTAGGGGAAGTCGGTGTGGTTAAGCGCAAGTTAGCTATTCTAGGGAATGAAGAGTGGGAAGAGATAGACTCCACATTTCTGAAATTTGAAGTTAAATTTGGTTTTCCTTGCTTCTTTGTGCTCCAGAGGAGATGTTAATGGAAGCCAGTCAGCCAAGATTCTGTGTCCCCCACTCCAGCCCTTTTCAAGGTCAAGTCGCTATTCTTAGAACATCCAGGTTGCCTAATGCAGATATGGCTTGGGCTACTACTGGGATGAGGTATCTTGCCATTAATGTTCTTGTAGGCAGAAGTTCCTGGTCCTCCTTGCTCACAATTTTCGAGTGTTTGGGAGGGTTTTTCTGGGAGAGTCTAGGAGTCTGCCCTCCTCACCCTCTCTTAGGATCCCCCCAGTAGTAGCCCAATAAGGTCCTGTTAGAGACCCCTGCTAGCCATGACAGCCTTTCCACTGCCTTTTCACTCCTCCTCTGGGGGCTCTTTGCCTCATCTTTTAAAACGGCCCTGGAGTTGATGAGCTTTCCTGGGGCTCAAAGCCATGGCAGCCTGCCTCTCTCTGAGGACAGCATGGACAGCTGGTACAGTACCTCAGCCACTGGTTGTGTTAAATGACTGAGAACATGCATTGAAAACCTGGCCATGTGGCTCTGCCCTTGAAGGCCCTGGGCCACCTGTCTAGAGCCCTGTTCTGGAGGCTGCAGCTTTGCTCCCTCTGAATGGCTTTCCTGACACTTCCTTGGGGAGCCGGCTGGTGGCCTTGCCCCATATCAGAAACTGCCAATGGCCAAACTAGGTGAAACAATGTGATGTTCACTTGCCAAGTGGGTGTCATATGTTGCCTGGCCCTGCATCAGGTCTTTTTCTGCCCAGCCTCTTAGGAATTCAGCCAAGAGGAAAAGCACTCTGATTATGAATGGAACAGTAGGAAACTGATTCCTGCAAATGATAGCAGCAAGACAAGAACCACGGATCAGAGAAATGACAGGAAGGAGGAATGCTCCCTGCCAGTAGCCTCATGCCAGGGAACAACTACCACAGTAAGAGATCACAGCCCTGGGCTTTGAACAGTGAATAAAGGAAGCCTACCCAGGCCTGCCTGGCCCCTGGGCAAACACAACATGCACTCTCAAACCTGGGGCTAGGGTTTCAGACACAGAAGTATTGTTATATTATGATTAAGATTTGCCAGCTGCTGTATCTAGAGTGAGTTCAAGTCCCAGCCCTGCCTCCTACTAGCTGTGTGACTTTGAGAAGTCATGGTGCCACTCTGCCTTGGTTTACTCATCTTTTAAATGGGCACAATCATAGGAGCTACTTGAGTTGTTATAAATGAATATATGTGAACCAGTGCCTGGCCTTTTGTAAGTATTATAAATGATATTTTTTGGGAGGACAGAATGTATTTGTATGGTCTGAGCTTGACAATTTAAAAATGTGACAGAAGAGGAAAGAATCTAGAATCCAAGGCCGGGGATTTAGCTCAGTGGTTCCGGCATCTGCCTCGAAAGCACAAGGACCCAAGTTCAATCCCTGGTACCAAAAAAA